ATTTACATTTAATGTTATTATTGATAAGTACTTGTTTGTCGTCATTTTTATTCTTAATGTTTGTGTTTCTTCTTGCTATTCTGTTTCTTCTTTTTACAGCAGTCTCTTTAGCATTTCTTGCGCTGCTGGCTTGGTGGTAATAAACTCTCTTAGCCCTTTTTTGTATGTGGAGCTTCTGATTCCACCTTCAATTTTGAATGATAGCCTTGCTGGGTATAGTATTCTTGGGTTCAGTCCCTTGCTTTGCATCATTTCATATATTTCATTCCATTTCCTTCTGGTCTGGTGTGTTTCTGTTGAGAAATAAGTTGATATTGTAATAGAAGATCCCTTGTAGGTAACTTTCTGTCTTTTTCTGGCAGTATTTAAGATTCTTACTTTGTCGTTGGTGTTTGCCAATTTAATTATGATGTGTCTTGGTGTCAGTCTTTTGGTGTTCATCTTGTTTGGGACTCTATATGCTTCTTGGACTTGCATAGTTTTCTTCTTGCCAATATCAGGGAAGTTTTCTGTCATTATTTCATTCATACAGATTTTCTATTCCTTGCTTCTCTTCCTCTCCTTCTGGTATCCCTATTATGCAAATGATGTTTCGTTTTGTGTTGTCCCAAAGCTTCCTTAGGATCTTCTCTTGCTTTTTAAATTTTCTTTCCAGTTGTTGCTTTGTTTATGTGTTTTTTCCTACCTTGTCTTCTAATTCACTGATGTGTTCCTCAGCCTCTTCTAGTCTTCCGTTTAAGCCTTCCATTGTGTTCTTTAGTGCAGGTATGTCATTCTTCATTTCCTCTTGGTTCCTTTTCATGTTGGTGACATTCTCATTCAGCTCCTTATAATTCTCATTGAGTTTTGTGTAACTGTCATTGAGTTGTGTGTATTTGTCATCCAGCCATTTGAGCATCCTTATAACCATTACTCTGAATTCTTTCTCTAATATGTTACTAGCCTCAATTTCATTTAACTCCCCTTCTGGTGATTCCTCTTTTTCTTTCCTTTGGGGATTGCTTTTTTTGTCTTCCCATGTTTTACTGTAATGTTTTAATTGTAGATCCATTTGCTTTGCTACCCAGGTTCTTTTGAGGATGGTGTTACTGGTGTGACGTCTCAAGTCTCCTGGGCTTAATAATCTAGCGTAGCTCCCTACTTGAGCTATTTGGGTTCTCTTGATGTAGGCTTGTGAGCTGGAAAGGCGCAACTGTGGTGTCTAGAAGTCAGCAGCCATGGAGAGGGGTGTCCAAATTTTTGTTGTCGTGTGCCCTTGGTTGAAATCATGCGTGCCCAGCGGGGATTCACAGTGGCACCCAGCAACCATCTGTTGGGGTGGTGGGGCTCAGGAGGCCTGCACTCTGGAAAGGCATGGCTGTGATGTACAGAGTTCTGTAGTTTTGGGGTGGGCAGCCTCCAGTGGCAACTCACAGGGGCACCCATAGTGCGTTTGCCAGCAGAGTGTACTGACACACTCTGAAGGGCCCTGACACTAAAGCCATGGGATTGCAGTGTCTGTGGGCAGGTATCCCAGAAGAGGGAATTCACTGTTTCTTCATCCCAGCAGTGTTCTCCTGTTTATATAAGTGCGTGCCCAGCAGGGGCTCACAGCAGTGCCCAAGAGCTGCTGTGGGCTTGGGAGGCCTGCATGCCAGAAAAGCGTGTGCCTGTAGTGTTCAGAGTCCTGCAGCTGTGTGGTGGGAAGACTCAGTTTTTGCTGCTGCACCTGTGGTGGATAGGTGCGCCCTCCCAGTGACAGCTCACAGGGGCACCCGTGGTGCCTTTGCCAGCACGGCGGTGCACTGAAGCACTCTGAAGGGCCCTGGCACTGAAGCCGCATAATCAAGGCATCTGTGGGCAGGTGTTCAGGATGAGTTAATTCAGAATTTCTACTGCCGGGGGAGTGCGTCCCTGTTTGTCCAAGATCACACCCAGCCAGGGCTCACAGCAACTCCCCAGAGCGCCCTGTGGGTAGATGGGCTCAGGGTGCCTGCTTGTTGGAAATGTGCGACTGTGGCAGTGCCTTTGCCCGTGCAGAGCTCAGACGCACTATGAGGCGCCCGGGCGCTGAAGTTGCGCAGCTGGGTTGTCTGTGGGCAGTTATTCAAGAAGAGGGAATTCAGAATTTCTATTGTGGGGCAGTGCGCCCATGTCTGTACAAAATCACACCCAGCGGGGGCTCACAGTAGCTCCCAAAAGCTGCCTAGGGAGTGGTGTTCCCTGGAAGGCTGCGTGCTAGAAACACCCAAATGTTGGAAACGTGGGAATGTGGCTTCTGGAGGTCTGCCGCTGGGGCGGGGGGAAGTGCACTTAGTGCTGTGGGAGTGGTGCACCTTTGGAGGTGAGGTGAAGGTCCCAGAGTCCACAGTCTGCGGGTGGGGCAGCAGGATTTTGGCTGGAGTGGCTGGTGGGCCACGGGCAGCGTCCAAGGCCTGTCTGGGTGGTGGTGATGATGAGTTCCTAGAAGAGGCCACTCCCCCTTCAAGATGGTGTGGGATCCATGCCTGAGTCTCGCAGTCCGGGGAGTGCCCGCAGTGGTGGTAGTCTCTCCCTGTCCCAGAGAGCCTGGTCTGCCACCCCCTGCTGCTGCTGCTCCTGCCGGATTTAACTGTCCCTCACTCAGTCACACACACACCACATACATCCACACACTCTCCTTTTATCCCCTCACTCACTCACTTCCTATCCCTCACCTTTGTCCTGCCAGCCGCCATCTTTTTTCTACTCCCGAAAGTTGTAAGTTCTTATCAGAGGTGGCCAAATGTAGGTTGACAGTCATTTGTATGGAAAATAACACAGTAATTAATAAATAATAAATTAAACGCTGTTTTGCATACTCACAACTGTAAACCCACTTTTGCACAATCCTATAGTATAAATAGTAATAATGTGCAGACTGGAAGTTACTATCTTTGTAAAGACTAGAGCTGTTAATGAGGCATGACTGGCATGAATAGTAATCAGAAAATTTCCCAGGTTTCCAGTCTGCTTCCCAATTGCCAAGTATTGAAGAAACTAAAAATGAGAGGACTGGCAAAGAAGAAATTTAATTTCTATGTTTGCATTCTCTGTGTGACAAAGCAGAGTACAAATGGGAAGGGTGGTTAGAACTGAGACAGCAAATTAAAAACACACATTAGCTGTACTTTTGCTCAGGAAATACAAAGACATTAGTTCCATGAAAGTTAAACACTATTTAAAATCATGAAAGATAGTGATATTCTAGGAATTAGGATATTTTGATAGTTGTTTAATGGCCAATATTTTATGATCCCAAATAATAAAAATTCGCAGGCATTATGTCAATGATCTGTGACACATTCTGTAACATTTCTCCTGTAACAGCCAGGAGACTAAAATTTAGTACATGGGAAATTGGGCTTCTTTTAAGAAATTGTAAATTGTTGCTTTTCTTTCTAAAATGCAGTGGAACATTTTTCTGTTCTTCCTTAGATGAAATTGGAACATCTTGCTCTTCTTCCTTAGGTAAGGTCTTGACATTTTGCTCTTTTCACTCATGTGAAGGTGCCACATTCTGCTCTTCACTCTTATCTGTTCTTCTGCATGTCAGAAAACCCAAAATTAACAAGCATAATAAAAGAATAAGATGAATCAACCAAAGTGGTCCTAGGTTATTGGCCTTTTGACTCACTTTTCTCCCAGGAGGTGGGCCACTATCAATACTACCTCCATGACCTCTTTCCAGGCAGAAGGGAGGCTCCCACTTCGAGTTGCAATGGCAGTGCTGCCTGTTGTTGCAGACTCCTTTCAGATTGCAGCTCTTAGGTGAACAACCAGTTACCAGAAGTGACCTATGGACACACTTCCTTTGGATGCAGACACGTTCTTCCCCACACTCTGTCCCATCTTTCACATCACCAATGTCAGGTATGGTCATCCCAAAGTGGTAGTCGGTACCCCAGCAGGTGATGTCATTGAACTGAGTCCAATGCACAGTAGAATGATCTCTCAGAAGGGGAAGTTTTGTCACGTTTTCACACTGAATCCTCCCGCACAAGGTATCTGAGTTGTTACATTTTACATATGTAGCGTTCATCAAACCACAGTTCCCAAAACGGTCACCGCGGGTGTTCATTTCTGTGTAGCAACTCTGATTTGCACTCTTGGCCTCTTTGCCAAAAATGTTCCTACACTGCTCTTCACGGTTATTGCATCTCTTTTCATAGCAGTAGCCATCGCCCTTGCATGGCATCCCATTCTGCAAGTACACATCCTCTGGACAATGGTAGGAT